AGACCGCATATGAACCCCGTTAACTCTCTAAAACCAACAGAACGCGGGAGCGTTTGCGTGTACTTTTAAATAAAAAGAGCGCGAAAGTCGCCGACATGCCGTTAGTGTCCAACGCGGTTGCTGAGGGCTCAGATCTCTGATATTGTGTAATTTCAATCTAAAATCAATTAATATAATCACGTATTTAGGGACAAACTGATTGCCTTCTTAATTTAACATGTATTGCCGTTTAATACGCATTTTTTATTGTTCACGTCACAAGTAAACGTAAAGTTAATCTTCAGAGAATAAACTGTGTTGAAGAGATTTAATCTTATTTAATAATTAATCAGATAAGTATTTGTATGTCTATACTGCCCTCTGCTGGTGAAGTTAAAGACTAGTCTACTGCTCTCTGTTTAGTGCACAGTATATTTTACTACACAGTCCTATTTTTTTTTAAAGGTAAGTTGAGCACATTGCATTGTGGGATACGGTATAATTGTATATCATTAAGTATTCCATAAGTACAGAAAATTAAACATGGGGCACAGTACATACTATATACTGCAGTAATACAGTATGATAGTATGTTATTCTGAATGCTACTTTTCTCATCACATTAAAGTCAAAACCACCATATTAAACAAAAGTTTAACATTAAAAAGTTAACATTTTCTCGTTTATTTTAAAACGAATTTCATGAAGTACATTTTTGTCCAGTGAGTATCACTGAATTAGACCTGAAATCAAAACGGCATCGGCTTAAAGAAAGAAGAAACCGTGGTTCTGAGAGGGAAATCGTTTAATTTCATTTTTAAATAATCTGTAAATAACAAGAACAACATGTACAATCACCGCGAGCACGAGAGAATAGAAAGATCCCAAATGAACAACTGAACTGATCGAGTCTGGTACGGAAACACCTGTTATGTGACTGCTTTAAAAAGTTACTTTATATATACCATATAAAGAGGGGGGGGGGCATCATCGAGCTCGGTCCAATCACACGCTGATTATACAGTAACTATGGCAACCAGCTCCATCCCATAATGAAGTCATGCAGGGGGGGGAAATCACACGACTCCCCAGCAAACAAAAGAGCGCGGCACTGCTACAAACAATATCAAAACAAACATTATGGCCACACGTAATTAGACATAAAAAAATAATTCAATCAACACGCATACAGAAGACGATAAGAGCCCGGATGAGCTCATGTCCACGATGAACTGACGACAGGAGTGAACATGAGCTCCAACAAGAGCAGCAGAAAAACCAACGTTCTGCGATCAGCGTTGAATCGAGTAACGCAACACGACAAAGTGACAATCGGACCGTCATAATCCACAAAGTGCTCCACACTGCACACTTCATTAACAAAGCTGAAGACGACTTCATAAGTGACTTTGACCAAGTCATTTACGAACCTAACAAAGTCACGTAACATTTGGAATCCACTTTGTCAACAAACTTCGTAAAATGATGTCGTTATAATCAACAAAGTTGGCTTGGTTAGACTGACTTCTTAGCGACTTTTGCAAATCATTTTCAACAAAGTCATTTATGAACTCGATGTTACACAACTAAGTTGTGCGCTACTAGGTTGACTTTGAAAAAGACTTCGTATAATCAACAAAGTTGACTTCATTAGGTAGACTTTGTAAGTGACTGTTACGAAGTTGACTTTGACAAAGCCATTCATGAACCTAACAAAGTCACATAACAAAGTTGTGCAATTCAATTGCTATCAAAGTCAATTAAGAACATAACTTCATAAGGATGACTTCATAAATGTTGTTAAAATCAACAAAGTAAACTTCATTAGACTTGACTTCAGCAATGTCAACTTCAACAAAGGCATTTACGAACTTGATCTTACACAACTAAATTGTGCGAAAACCACTTTGCCGTGAATCATGAATGTAACTTAGGTTGACTTCGCAAATTACTTCGTCAAAATCAACTTTGTTACATCGGCTTCATTATACGAATGCTGTCTATGTTGCAAGTTCACAACTTTGTTGCATAACTAAAAGTTGACTTCGTAAATAACTGCTATTGTCAACAAAGCTGTTTGCGTCACTTTTCAACGACAGTTGTATTGTAGTAAAAACACCTTTTGTAACTATGGTTATCATTGTAACTAGACACGAACTTCGTAACATCAATGTTGACTCTGTAACATGACTTCGTAACCAGTGCAGCAGTGTTGATTACCGCCATTTTGTCGCATTGCGTCGTTCACTCTTGTGTACACTATGAGCTTGTGACAATCAACCATTAGTGAGGATGAATATAAAGTGATTAACAGTTGCGAAAAATCAACAGAGTAAACCTTCGGCATTTATAACGTAAATATTATTCTAGTCTATACGACGGCATCCGTGCACACAAACACCATCGTTCACTCTCTCGCACACACACACACACACAAAATCCATTTGTTCAGATTGCTGTGATATGAGCAGGTTCTTCTTTATTATTATTATCGTTATTATTATCATAGGACGCTAATCACACTAAGACAAACACCATAACGCTCAGGAGGGAGATCTCATTTGGTTTAAATTGCTATTTACATAATCCAGTTGAAACACACTGTGAAAAAACATGAGTAAAAACATGCCAAAAACAACTGAAATGTGTCAATTTACATATGTATAATCTACCGACACGTTTATAAACCGTTATGATTTAGGCCAAAAACGTACACACGTGCGACAAAACGAAACAGGCTGTAAATGAAATAAAGCGATAAAAATCACAAGATCTTCATCTCTCCCGATAGGAACAGCGTTCAGAAACAACAGGACTTCAGCAGGAGATTCACGCAACATTTGCCGCATCTACGCTGTTTTTATTAGCGCAATGATCTGCGGGTCCGACAGAGACAGATCAATGTTTGTCGTTGTGTCCCGTCGAGCATCAAATAAAACACTGATGTTGCTCTGCACGCGCTCGCAGACTGACGTTCCTAAAAAAAAAAACAACGCGATTGGAACGGTTGCCATGACAACCCACCCACGTCAACGATACAACGCCGTAGTCACGGCGACTCAAAAGAAACGTACAAAACTTGGACATGTTAAACGCTTCAAAATGATTCATGTGCTTTCAGATAAAAAGATTTCGTAATGCTACTATATTAACGCAAACCATGTGACCTTGATGCCCACGGGATGACGTCACGTTCGTAGAACATGTCGCGCTAACAGGCTAATAATACTAACATGTAATATCTTGCTAAACGCAAAACAATAGTGTACATCAACGAATTCTCCCAGTGAACATTTAGAGAGCATGTGGATTGTTCTCACAACGTTGGAACGTTAAAACAAGATGCCGGCGCAAACGCCCAAAATCACGTGACCAGAGAGCGCTGGTTCCGACAGATGCTGTGGGTGTCGAGCTAACAGGCTAATAATACTAACATGTAATATCTTGCTAAACGCAAAACAATAGTGTACATCAACGAATTCTCCCAGTGAACATTTAGAGAGCATGTGGATTGTTCTCACAACGTTGGAACGTTAAAACAAGATGCCGGCGCAAACGCCCAAAATCACGTGACCAGAGAGCGCTGGTTCCGACAGATGCTGTGGGTGTCGAGTCGAGGTTCGATCCCGTCTCCGAGCAAACACGCAGAACGACGCGCGCGAGCGAAGCACGTCATGTGACTTCATGACAAACTGTAAAAAAAAGCACATCCAAGTAAAAGTAAAAAATCAACGTTCAAACGATGTAAATGATGTGGATTCGTTTATAAGAACAGAGAGAGGGGCGGATGCTTGTTTGTTTAGAACGAAATCAAGAGCGTCTAAAATGCAGTTGATCACATGATGCGGTTCCTCCAATCAGATGCTGGCTCCGCCCCCTCAGCTCCGCCGGGTTCGCGAGTGCTGGATCAGCCACTGTAGTGTGATGTCTGGAACACATGACCATGAGCTCATTAACATATGTCCCGCCCACATATGCATTTGCTGACAGTGTTGCCAACTTAGCAATTTTGTTGCTAAATTTAGCAACTTTTCAGACTACCCTAGCAACTTTTTCTTCTAAAAGCACCTAGCAACAAATGTAGCTATTTTTTTTTATTTATTAATTTGGCGACTTTTAGCAACTTTTGATAAGCGACTCAAACGATAAAAAGGAACATTTACCATTTAAATGACACAAAAAGAGAAAACCAAAGATGCCTAGCAGTACACACATCACGCGAATTGAGTTAGCTGCTATTTGCAATTGTTCAATTTAATAATAATAATTGAATAATAATTGAATAATTGTTCATTTATGATACACCTTGTTAGTAGCTTGCACTTGCGATTGTTGATCAGTTGGTACACTGTAAGATAAATATCTAGAAAAATGGAAAAGGTACTAGTAATTTTCCAGGATATTATCTGCTGTAACCCGAAAACACAAAATATAATGTGCAATTAAAAATGCAGGTAAAAAACCTGTGGAAAAATCCTTCATATTACGCTGCTGTAAGAGTCAGAAAGTGACAAAAACGCTGAAGGAGGAGCATATAAACATAAAACACTTAATAGAAGTGGTTGATATATATATGGCGTAAAACTATATTTTTAATGCAGTCTCATTAAAGTCTTACCGATGTTGTCCTGCTCCTTACAGGAGATGGAGTAACAGCAGATCTCTCGGTCCTGGATGGCCGACAGGTTCCTGTGGATCAGATTTAACAAGCGTTTCCAGTCATCGGATCACAATCAGACTGCATTAAATTGTATTTAGTTACGGATGAACTCACATTCTCTCGATGAGCTCCTTCTCATCCAGCGCTCCGGAAAGATCTCGCTTATTGCCCAAAACCAGAACCTGAGGAAATACGGACACTTTTATGATCGAATAACCACACAGAGATGAAACCGTTTCATAAAACATGATCTAAACACATGAAAAGTAGCAGAAATGATCACGGCAGACTCACTGGGATTCCCTGCAGCTGCGGTTTGTCTAACAAGTTGTGCAGTTCGTTCTTCGACGCCTCGATCTTCTCCGGATCCGCCGCATCAACCATGTAGCTGAACGACACACGCGATCCGTTACGAACGCATGACATCATGACGCCGTTCACGTAACGTACCTGAGATTACGAGTATACTCACACGATAGCGCTGACGCCGCGACAGTATCGCTCCCACATGCTCCTGAAGCGCGGCTGACCGCCGATGTCCCACAACTACAACAAACACACACCCAATCACTCATTCATCAGAATACAGTGTAAATCACATGTAAACTAAATATTATATAGCCTTATTATTGCACAATTTACTAAACAAGGCAATTTTATAAAACGGAGAGTTCCGGTGCTTGATTCTGATTGGCTGAGCCGCGTTCGAAGCTGTTGTAAATGACTCTACAAAGTAACATACACCTTTGTTTACATTTGTGTGTTGCTCGGCAACCACTTTGTTGCAACCACAACTGTTTCTGAGGAACTACATTGTTTGGTGGAAGAATACTGTTTTTATTATCATTACACTTTATTTGCTCTGTTTTATTTTGCGAAACCTTACTACGTATATGGAATAACCGTTTTATAAAAGCAATAATCCCCGTGAAGCTGTGGTTTACAGTGAATTTATAACAGCTCCGCTTCGCGTCGTACCTAACAACGCCCCTTAGCTGTTATAAATTCACTGTAAATCACGGCTTCTTGGGGCTTATTGCTTTATTATTTAACAATTATATATGAAATTTGAAACATCTAATTACAATTTAAAACGCTGGTCTGATTTACTAGCAGTAACTACTAAATAAACTAAGAAAATTGAATTTAAATATAATTTTTTTTTAATATTACATATTTTTTTAAAGACGACTAAAGATGCCAAAAATATAAATGCATATTTTTAAAAATTGTATACATTTTATGTTTTTAATTTTAATATGCAAAACGGATGCAGATAAAGCAATATTTTATTTCACTATTTATTTGATATGACATTTTATACACGTTTATACTATTTTCTAACAAGAACTACTAAATAAATGTAAACATTTTAAATACATAAAAATATAAATGTATGTTTTTTTAGGAGCTGGCTGATTTAGGTTCAGATGTTTATAGTTATTGATAAACTTATAATTCCCATAAATTAAAGGAACATTTCATTTTGATTACTTTTCTTACAATAACTTTGGTCAACACTAAAGTGTGTGTAGATATGTGCATTTTTTCATTTTTCTGTGCACATGTGTCAATTTATGCAATTGTTTACTTTTTTCTTATTTTAAAAAACATTTTTTATTGGAAAATAATTGTTAAATGCAATTGTTTAGGTAAATGTATATAAAGCATGAATATTTACGATGATTTTTATTTTTCGTTCTGCAGTGCTATTTGGTTCATCTCAACAGAGAGTGATCTCCTGACCTTGATGGTGACGTTTCCCTTGGTGATCTTGCGCATGTTGAAGCCGACCGTAGGGATCATGTCCTCGCTGAACTGACCCGACTGCAGACACACAGACACACAGACAGAGAGTTTCACAAATCAAGCATCTGAATCCACTGAAATCTGCTTGACTGCAGCTCCACGAAACGCCTGGATTTATGCACCGACGACCTTCCTGAGCGAGTGTGTGTGTGTGTGTGTGTGTGTCGTGGCTGTTGAATACATAAACACCGTTCCGGCAGACCACATGATTGGACAGAATGCCAGATGCTGACTGGCTGAGAAACGGGGTCAGCTGATCAACTTGTTTTTGATTGACAGCTGTCAAGTCGATCAGATGCTGGACAGGATCTCCACAACAGTCTGAGGATGATGTTCTATCTGATACACTGCGTCAGATCTGACGATACAAAGTGTCAGCTGAATCATAACATCAAATAATGCTGTCTATGACACTTTGTGTCTGATAATGCCGTATCTGATCTAATGATGCTAAATCTGATACATTGTGTCTGATTTGATGATACTGTGTAACACATTGTGTCGGCTAAATAAATAAATGTAATAATGCTTTATGTTACAGCTTGTGTCTGACGGTGCCGTATCTGATCTGATGATGTTGTATCTGAAACATTGTGTCTGATTTGAGCTGATGATGCTATACGTGACACATTATATCTAATATAGATATATAGATGCTTAAGTTGAGTTGACATTGTATGCATCTAATGTAATGACACTGAATTGGACACATTATAATGTTGAATCCTCTATATTAGGTCTGATTTATTGTTTTTGATCTGGCCATGCATTATGTGATACACTGTATCTGATACTCTGATCACTGACTAATGATGTTGTATCATACGTGTTTTATCTGACCTAATGATGCTGAAGTTGACGCTTTGTGTCTGATGCGATGTATCTTCTATGTTGAGTCTGATCTAATGATGCACACACTGTATCTGATGATGCTGAATCAGACTTCTGTACTGAGTCTGATGCCGTATCTGTAAATGTAAAACACTGTATCTGATTTGATAATGATGTACGTGACACATTACATCTGATAAAGTTGAATCTTCTATATTGTATCTGATCTAATGATGCACACAGTGTATCTGATACATTGTATTTAATGATGCCGAATCGGACACATGGTGTCTGATCTGATCATTCTGTCTGTGATACAATGATCTGATTATCCTATAAAACTGACCTAAAGATGCTGAATGTGACACATTGTATCTTCTATATTGTATCTGATCTGATGATGCTGCATCTGCTACATTGATGATTCCATCATATCTGACACATCATATGTGACCTAATCATGCTGAATCTGATACATTGTATCTACTAGTACTTTCTCTGACACACTGTGTCTGATCTGTTTTTCTGTATGCGATACATTGTACCCAAAGATGTTTGTCTGATCTACTGTGTCTGATCTAAAGATGCTGAATCCGACACATATATTGTATCTGATCGGACACACTGTATCTAATGACGCCGCATCGGACACACTGTATCTGCTCGGATTCTTCAGTAGGTGATACATCTCGTGCTGAATGTGACACATTCTATCTTCTACATTGTTTGTGATCGGACACGTTGTATGTAACACATCGCGTTAGTTCGCGGAGCGAGGCCTGTGATAAAGCGAGCTTGATTACCGCGATCACGTTGACGAAGGTGGTTTTTCCCGAGTACTGCAGGCCGACCAGCGTCAGCTCCATCTCCTCCTTCCAGAAGAGCGCCTTGAACCAGTCCAGCAGCTTGTTGAATAGCGCGATCATGGTGCGGGCTCGAGCTCGGTCCGGTTCTGCTGCAGCTGCTCGCGGATCGTTCTTCCTCATTGGGTGGGGTTTCACATCCACGCGCAGCTGATCCAAACAATGCGGGACTCGCGGCGCCACGCGCCCCCTGCTGGACGCACGCCGGTTTACGTTATCTTCGTCTGTCTGTCACTCTGTTCCTATCTTTAATGACAATCAATTTTGTTTTGTTTTTTTCAGTTTGTAATGTATTAAACACCCCTTTCTTATTTTATTTTGTTATTAATGTCTGTCATTTTTATGGTGATGCTTGTATTACTTTTTGTATGCTGTTTTTGATTTTTGAGCATTAATACAATTTTTAAAAAAATAGTCTGAAAATCTATAAATGTAATCTAAAAAAATAATAATTTGAAAGTAGACCGAATGTCTTTCAGTAACTAAATGAAATTATAAAATGAACTGTGTGAAAAGTTAGGTCATTATTTTAGCATGTTTTATAATAATTCAACTATTTTTATTTTTTATAAATATAAAGCACTTTTTTTATTCAGGAAAATATCTCTTAAAATAATATAAAAATCAATGCTGCGTACTAGTTTAGTGTTTGTATGATAAAATATATTCAATAATTTATTTGTATTTTATTTTTAAAAATCAAATTATAAAATGAACGGTATTAAAAAATAGGACATTATTTTTTAACATGTTTTATAATAATCCAAATATTTGTTGTTGTTTTTTTTTAATAAATATAAACGCACTTAACTTTTTATTCAGGAAAATCTCTTGCAAAATAATATAAAACTCAGTGCCGCATTACTAGTTTCGTGTTTGTATGATAAAATATATTCAATAATGTTTGAAGAACAACCAGCCCCTGACTCTCACACACACACACACACACACACACACACACTGATCATGGGCTCGTCTCTCAGTGAGCCCTGCATCTATGATAAGCTGTCAGAGAGCATCGACATCCTCATCAGACGCCGTCACACACATCAGACACAATCAGACGCCATCAGACACAATCAGACGCCATCAGACAACATCAGACACAGTCAGACAACATCAGACGCCGTCAGACACAATCAGACGCCGTCAGACAACATCAGACGCCATCAGACAACATCAGACGCCATCAGACACCGTCAGACGCCATCAGACACCATCAGACACCGTCAGACACAATCAGACACAGTCACACACAATCAGACGCCATCACACAATCAGACGCCATCAGACGCCATCAGACACAATCAGACGCCGTCAGACATGCTCTGCACATGCAGTGTTGGGGAAAGTTAAGTAAAAGTAATGCATTACAATATTCTCATTACTCCCTAAAAAAGTAATTACGTTACTTAGTTACTTTTTATGGAAAGTAATGCATTACGTTACTTTTGAGTTACTTTTTAAATCTGGGCAGGGCTTGCTTGTTTGTTTTTAATATAAAAAAGTTATTTTACAAATGTAAAAGCCCTTTCTCAACAGAAGTGAAACAAATACGGCTCAGGCTGAAGGAAATGTAAATTCATGTCTGTACAGTAGAGGGCGCAGCTCAAACAAATTGCATGAAGAATATGACGCAGGAGAAGAAAGTATGTGTCATTTTTGCTAATTAGTATGGTTGAATTAGATCATCGAAGGTCAGTAGCAAAGACATTGGTTAATAAAATGGGATTAAATACATAAATAATATTTGTCTTGTAAAAGCCCTTTCACACCAAAAGTGAAGTGAATACGGCTCAGGCTGAAGGAAATGTAAATTCACGTCTGTACAGTAGAGGGCGCAGCTCAAATCGCATGAAGAATATGACGCAGGAGAAGAAAGTTCAACACTATTCAGCAATAACACAAATGATGCATAAATGTGTCATTTTTGTTTAGTATGATTGAATTGGATCATCGGAAGGTCAGCAGCAAAGACTTTGGTTAATAAATTGGGATTAATACATAAATGATATTTGTCTTATTTAACATATTTAATTATTGAAGCTTTGTATAATATTCTGAGTTTGCATTTGACTGTTTTTATTGATTGTGAGGAACACTGAATGTGTTTGTGTGCAGTGAGATGAGTAAACACATGTTGATATTGAGTCTAGAACTACAGTAAGATCATGTTCACACACAACGCTCTGCACTTACTCCTGATTTCTGTCACCATGGCAACACCAGAGCTGTCACTCAACACATGGAAACAAAGTAACTGGCGTTACTTATTTGAAAAATAACTCTGATAGTTCCTTCTAAATTAAAAAGTAATCCATTACTTTACTAGTTACTTTAAAAAGTAATCTGATTATGTAACTCGTGTTACTTGTAATGCATTACCCCCAACACTGTCCACACGCTCTCCACACGCGTCCATCTCAACATGCCTGTGTGTGTGTGTGTGGGCAGGGTTTCACGAGTGGTGGGCATCTGGTGCGCCGCAGACGCCGCAGGTGAACTGCTCGGCCTGCGCAGATGTGACTGCGGTGCTAGAGCTGAGAGTGTCTGCGGCGATCGACAGACACACACAGCCACTGCTGCTCAAGGTACAGACACACACACACACATACACACAGTGTGTGGTGATGGAGGTTAATGTGTGTGTGTTTCAGGGCGGAGAGTCTCTGTCTCGCCGTGTGTCTCACCTGGAGCAGTTCTCACAGCCGCAGACGCTCACAGCAACACCGGCCAACTTCACCCTGCTCTGGTAACCTGCAGCATTCTGATTATTAGATGATCATCAGCATCTGTATCTGTGTGTGTTTGAAGCTCGTGTGTGTGTGTCAGGAGTTTCTCGTCTAGTCCCAGAGAGACGCTTCTCCAGTGGTTGTTTCCTGACACTGAGCTCTGCCCTCTGCTGGAGAACACAGGAACAACACTGCAGTGCTGCCAACTGAGCGACAGCACCAGCGTTCAACACACGGTCAGAACACAGTGTTTCTTTTTTATATATATATATATATATGCTCATCTCATTTATGTCTCTTCTTGTTGTTGTTGTTGTTGTAGCGTGTGCAGGTGTTGGGTTGGCTGGTGGTGGCTGAAGGCTCTCCGTGGGTTCGTGTTCTTCCGATCCAGCGATGCCAAACACACTGCCGCTCCTTCAGTCTGTGGCTGGAGCCGGGAGACATGGGTAAGACACATCTCTCAGAGCCGTGAGCGTCTCCTCATTGCTGTGCTACTTCTAGGGATGGCCGATATGGGCTTAAAATATATATCACGATACTTTCTGGTATTTATTGCGATAACGATATCAATGACGATAATTCAGGGAATCCTGCTTCTTTAGAGAAAAGTATTATCTTTCCTATTTTTTACCCAAAATAGGGTGTTGAGAGCATTACTGAGTACACACGTAATGACTGTTTAATTCATACTGGAAGCCGGAGGGCGCTCTTGCGCAGAAACTCCACACATGCATCGCAGAAGTAACAGCACTGACGACGCTCCAGGAAATCCCTAATATGGACAAAGGCATCCAGTTATCGCTGAATAAAACGCAGATAGAGACATTTTAACTGATGAAACTTGAAGACAATAAACATACGGTTGCACAAAATATAGCTATGGTCTGTGTTAAGGATAAAGTATATTTATAATGCAATGCTAATCGACATCGCATTTATACTATAAAATAGAATGATCTCTGCCTCACTCTGTGATATGAAGCCACGTCTGATCACATTCTTCTTCTGTGCTCAGTGTTGGCGGATCCGCGCTACTGGCTGCTGGAGCTCTTTGCGTCTGGAGCTCAGAGAGTGCTGTGTGACGGCCCTGTGCTCTGAGAACATCGTTCAGGAAGTGACATCAGCACTCGGTTTCTCTTTCTTCAGACGGCGGTGTTTCTGCTGAGCTGCTGGGATCTTCGGCTCCGGCGATGTTTTCTGATCCTCCCGCCAGACGCTCGCAAACTTCAAAGAAACTGTATTTTGTTGAAAGAAAATCAAACCTATTTTAAGGATATTTTAGTACGTCTTGACATTGTTTTCATGACCATTAAGCGCATTTCGTCTACAAATTACTGGGATGCAAAAAACTAAAAATCTCATTACTGTAAACAAAAAAATTCTCATTACTGTTACAATACAATTAATTGATGTTAATATATAAAGTAAACTAAATTATTTTTACATTTTATGGTAGTATTTGTTGTACTGACTGAATTTAAATAAATAAGAATACTATTTCTGTAATACAGTGTTGAGAACAATATTTTTTTGGGGAAAACATTTTTATGGTTAAAAAAAAAAAAGTGTAACGGTAATGAGAATAAATATAACTGATATAATGAAAACGAGAATAATTTTTTCTGTATTAAATGAGAATTTATTTTTTTTTGTTCAAAACATTTTTCCTTTTTTTTTTTTTTGTATGACGGTAATGAGAATTCGTGTATATTTTTCATTATGGTAATGAGAATGAGAATCATTTTGTTCAAAATCTCTTCATATTATGTTTTTTTGGTGACTGTAATGAGAAATGCATTTTTTTTTTTTTATGACGGTAATGAGAATTAGTGTATATTTTTAATTATAGTAATGAGAATGAGAATTATTTTGTTCAAAATCTCTCCATATGGTTTTTTTTGGTGACGGTAATGAGAACGGTCATATTTTTCATTATGGTAATGAGAACGAGGTTTTTTGTGTGTATTACAGTGATGAGAATGGCAATGAGAACAATTCATTTTTTGTGTATTACGATAATGACATTGAGAATATTTTGTAATATGGTAACAAGAACTGTCAGGAGGATCTAAGTTTGTTTAATTATGGTAATGATGGTTAATTTTTTTTTTTTTGCATCGCAGTAACGCCAGTGTGTCGGAAATGCGTTTTATTGTCACGAATCTAATTTCAGTGTTGAAATGTGAG